AATGCAATAACATGCAATATGCATTACACTTCAAAATATATGAAATCTCTTGATGTAATTATATTGAAAGTGTCGACTTCTAAAAATAGGTCAATAAATCCTTGGTCTTCACTTTGTTCTAGTTGATTCTAAAAAATATTAGGCAAGTGAAGATATCCTTTGAGAATCATTGTCATTTTGGGTGACAACACTTATTCCTTGACAATCTTGGATAAACTTAGGAGAATTCAGCACAACTTGTGTTCAATATGAGTGAATTCCTTTCACTGAAGGCTTAAATCAAATCAAGCTAACTTATGTGTTCAATTTTGTTGGTAAGTCTCCTCTTGGTGTGACTTGTGTGATCCTCTAGTCTACTAGCCCAACTCTATTGTGCATGTTTGATCTAAAAGAGCTTGTGCATGACCCAATCTCATCATATAATACCATGTGAATTTTCGGCATTGATTATCCCATCAACCTCATTGCTTTTTAGTGTGATCCTTTGATTGTTATTAGTTAATATGATTTTCATTGATATGAGCTGATCATTATATTAGCCTCATTGAGTAGTTATATTTTGACTGATTCATGCTCTGATCTTGTCAATCTGTTAAGTTATATGTGGCCTTAGATCATTGCATCTCTGTCTAAATGGGTGAATCATAATCTAAGATGGAGATGATTGAAGGTAAAGTCCTTAGGCACAACTTGATGGTATCTCTAACGTATGTAGACCCACTCAAAGTTAAATAAATATTAAAACAACCTTAGGTTTATCATTGTCTATCAAGGTTGACTTATGCTTGAATTTATGGGACTCCCATATCTAATTGAGCAAAACTTAGCTTATTTCTTAAATTCTATTATGTTGGGGAAGTAAAACCAAGTAGCAAAGCAAATTAGGAAGAGAAAATGACAACGAAAAGAAAGAATACCAATATTTGATGTGGAAAAACTCGAAACCAGGAAAAAATTACGGACACCACATCAAGCGATTTACTATAAAAATTTGAGAGAAATAGTACATATCTCTCTTCTCTCTAACTCTCTCCTTATATCTCCTCACCCATGCACAGTTTTCATACAAAAAACAGAGAGAAACTCACTTAAACCATTAAGGGATGCAACCATTCATGAAAAATAAGAAAGAAAATTGCCCACCCTGCCTCACAGCCATGCGGCGCCAAGTTTGGAGCGCTGCGGTGCTCCACTCTTTGTTTTCAATTTGCTTGACAACGTCGGGGTCTAGAGCACCACAACGTTCTCTAGTAGCACCAGAGTTTGGAGTGCCGCAGCGCTCCGCACTTTGTTTGTCTCCAAGAAACTATACGGCACCGTAGCGCTCGGGTTCATAGCGCCGCAGAGCTGTACGATTGTACGGAAAAAAATTCCTTGGGGGGAGGACCCCTGGCGACCTTAATCAATGGAGTTAATGTCCGAGTTAGCAGTACAATGCGATTGATCGACACAATCACATTCCAGACAAAACTAACATATTAGAACCATTGACCTTAAATAAGACTTAGCCTTGGTATGATGAGGCCCAACTAGTGCTTGAGGTGATATGACCAATTGCCCTTGAGCTAGTAAGTTTATTGGACCTTTTTTTTCCATATTATTTATTAATTCATAAGTTTATTGGACCTTGTTAAGTATAATTGACTATTGCTTTAGGTCCCTTCTGATAGATTAGCCCACATATCAACCTAGTTCCTGTATGTCAACCTAGTTCAATCTTAAGTTAAGCCTTGCGTAATTGATCAAATCATGAACAATCAAGACCCTCGGTTCGTTAGATCCGGTCATCTCAATATACAATGTGTGTTAAGTAACTAATGAACCAAAGTGAATCCAAAATCTAGATGCTTAGACTAACCCAACTTAAGTTGAACCAAACTTAGCTCATTTGTGTTCCACTAGAATTGACCTAATTTTAGCCCGATTAAACCTCAAATTGTCATAGCTCGGATAGGTCTTAACCTAATTTATTCCCTTATAATGTTAATTGAGTCCATTTGATTTCATTGGGTGCGTTAGAAGGAAGGAAATGGAAAGAATTTCACTTCTTTGAATTCATAATACAGGCATGCACATGCTTATTTATAGGCAAGAGAGAAAAATCATGAAGGAAATTGTAATAAAGGGGAATATCTCCAATAAAGCAAAAATATAACAATAATAACTATTTAAGATTCCTATTATAATTTGTTAGTACTGTGATAATTTAGATATTGTAACACCCCCATAAACTCAAGGTGACATAGAAGGTGCCAACTTGAGTTTGGAAATAGTAGTGACCATACATGAAATAGTAGAAGGTTTTGTTTCCCAAATGTTGTGATTGTTGCTAGATGAGTGCGACTGAGTCATGAAGGGATGAAATGTGAATCATATGTAGAGTCAACAATGAGACTCGTGTTCTAAAACACAGATATGTTAAAAGATACACGAATAAATAATGTCACTGGTGGTATCAATGTAGATTATCGACGAAGGGTATTAATAGAGAGCTTTGATAGAATAGCTTTTATCATCCATCAGTGGGACATGGATGCTCGAAGAATGTTGCTTGTGATATTGTTTGAGACAAAGATGGGTATCTCATGGAGGGAGAAGTTGATAGAGCACAGATGGGTTGCAGTTCAATGTAGATTGACAATTAAAAGAGTGTTACATTATTGAGGTGTTTAGAGAAAAAAATAGGAGATTCTAGTTTATAGCTCTATTATTGTGTTGTAAAGGAGAGTTGAAAATGTTTATATTTTTACTCCATCGTCCTTACAATAATATTCATTTTCTTAATATAACATGTATATATCAAATCAAATTTGCCCATTTAATATTTTGACTAACCAAGAAGAAGAGAGAACCTCATCATAAAAATGTCGGGTTAGTTTATAGCTCTATTATTTTGTTGTAAATGAGAGAGTTTAAAATGTTTACATTTTTACTCCATCGTCCTTATAAAAATATTTATTTTTCAAATATAACATGTATATATCAAATCAAAATTGTCCATTTAATATTTTACAAAACAACAAGAAGAGAGAACCTCATCATACAAGAGAGAACATGTACATCACATCTTGACAAAATAAATCAAACGTAATCAAATTAAATCAAGTCAAATCATTCAAATCCATCAAACTTGACTATCTTTAGATTTTGCTTGATTTTTGGATATAATCCCTATAGGGTGTGTGATTATAAGACCCATGCTTGTCACCCTCTCTAAAATTCAGAGACAATAATTGCACCATATTTATAAGTTCTTGTTCATTGGGCTACTCTAAAGGTAATGCTACAAGATCCAAACATCAATAAAGTTTGCACTCAAAAGCTCAATTCTTAATATCAAACACAATTCTCAAACCAAATCAGCAGAAATGAATCGGGACAGTCTCATTCAGACAGCCAAGTTATAAGATCTATTGCTGTGCTTCCGTAATAAGCAAAACCAGAAGTTTTTGTTTGACCAAGTAAGCTAGCATTGACTTAGGACAAGCCATATTCATGCTATATAGATGAATCTTAAGTCTATCAGGCCGTTATCAAATATAGAGTTGTGAGTGCCAACTTTATCAAATCCCGGATTGAGTTTGTATCAAATATACAAATATTAAGTCTAATCCATATTTAACTCCAATCAATTTTTGAGCTGGGTCAAACACTTATGACCCATTAATCTTCAACCATTTATTTGGGCTTTCCTTGTGATACAAGCCCAACCGTTTTTGAATTCGAGGCTGGCATGTTTGTTGTGAACTAAAAAAACATTAAAGCAAGCGAACCAAGTTATTAACGCTTGTGTCCAAGAAGCTTCTTTGAGTAATCTAGGTTTCAACCTGAGCTTTTAGGCCAACTCAGGGCTTCTTATTTGAGGCACCACTTGTATATGCTAAAATGTCTTCTACTATGTGTATGTTAACCTCAATAGTAAACCTTTGAGTCAAATCATGCAAATTTTTATTGAAAATTTCTGCACTAATCAAATCATATTCACCCATTTGTCTTAGGCTGCTATCTTTTTTAAGTTTTATTTAGGATTTAATCTTGAATTATTGAATTGGACATACCATGCCTTTGGTTAAAAATGGTCATGTAAAAACACCTCTAAATTGTCCTTCTCTATGCTTTGTGCCTTGAGCCAATTTTATTGTGAGTTTGTCAAGTATAATATACTAACATTCTAATGGCCGTGTAAAAATACTTTTGAATCGCAAGTATTTTACTTGTGTCCTTAGGTTCGCTTGATTCAAACCTTGATTTAAGGATCTCATCATGAAAAATGAATGTCCATAAATGTATCATCACCCTTTTCAATTCAAGATATTTGGGAATAGGCAAACTGTGGTTGCAAATTAGGCTCCTTAGATGATATGGTATTCAACATTGGTTGTTAGTGTATTTGTTTCTCCAAGTTGACCTGAGGTGATGGTTGCCTGATATTTTTATTGAGTTGACCGCTCATCCCCTTCCATGTCCTTCATTCATAAACCTAAAATTTAACCACCAATCCAAAGTGTAACCAAGTCCTTAAATGAGATGTTCTCGGGTCTCGCACTTGAGGTATAATTAGTTATGGAGGCTTGTGACTAAGAGAAATCTCAATTCTCTAGATCTCATATAAATTTTAGATAACCCATTTTTTTATGAAAAATATCTGAGAAATCAAATAATTTACTTGAGATAATCCATAATTGAAGGATGCATATCATTGAGTTAATGGGCACTTTCATACCCCACAAGGATAAAAAACTTGATTATTGATCATTAGCTCCGTCATTTCACATCCCTTGTTGAGCTTGATGCTTCAAGTATCATCCAAAGTGGAGAATAAATGCAGTACATGATTTTTTAGTGTTACATTTCTAGCACAAGCAAATCAACTGCTTTGATGTTTGCTTGAAAGTTCATTTTGAAACTATATAATTATTATTTGTTTAGAAGTTGCTGTGCATGTGTGATTGTTTTCTATATCCATATTTTTGACAGACAATTTGCTTAATGCATTGCAGGGGGATCGGACCAAGAATGTTGGAGTAATCGATACTGAGTTCATCATCCATCAAGGAATACCGTCCTTGGGTGGAGTCCGTGCCAAAAAGGTTCACTTTTATGATCATAGCACAAGCTATCCAATTTTTTTTGTTTCTTATTTAATTATTCTTAAAATTTGCATAAAATTAAAAAAAATGGTTCGAAAATCTTCACCATCCAGCCCCCAAAAGGCACACTAACAGTTAATATCATTCTAGACTTTTGAAAATGATTGTTGCTCTATCTCTTATGGTTATTTTTATTTAATGACAAATCAAACTATTTCGAGGCTAGACATTGCTTATAATGAGTATGCAATCGCCCATTTCATAATATCCTGTTTGTTTTAGCCATTCTTTTGGCTATTGAGATAGGTTGACATAATGAATTGCATGGTAAGCAATGCCTTACATGGTATTTATTCTCTATTTTTTCCCTTGAAATGTGATGTTAGAATGATATTGATATCATATAGATGCTTATTATCTACGTCACAGATACATGAAATATAAAAGTTTTCTGGTGGCTGTTGACCTCATTTTTGTATGAGGTCACTCTTAACTCCTCCTTGAGTCCTAGATCCTAGGATTTTCCTAGTTCCTAGCCCTTAGGCTCAATCCAAATCTTAACTCAATTCAAACCCATAACTCTTAGGCTAAAGACTTAGGTCCTAAAGCCCTTTCTAGGTGATTTTTCCATCACCTTGAAACCCAGTCTTTCGACCTCTGATTCAGAGTCTATCAATTTCATACTGATGTGACATGTCTCTAGTGTCAACCCTCTAAATTTGAATTCATTTGGAGGACTCTAACCCCATAAACTTAATCCAGTTCCAAAGGTTGCAAAACCTTCAAATATTTACAATCAATGCCACTGGTCCTTTCACATAGTGGAATTTGACTTTGGAGCCCCCTCCAAATCTTTTGATCACTCCTAATACCTTGATATTGACTTGTTAAGCAATGATCTACATCTTTTTAGATTCAATTTGACCCAGAATTGACTTGAGACCAAAAAGCCAAAATGCCCTTAAATGGGGATTTTTAGACTTTTGGCCTAAACTCAATTTGATTTGACTTATCAACCTTTGAAACCTTCTTCAAATGTCATTCCAATGAATCCTAAATGACTTTAGGAACACATTGAACCCAAACTTACTCTTTGGTTTGACCTGGTTGACCAAGTCAACAATGGTTGACCAAATCAACCCTTTAACCCAACACTTACCAATTTTAACCATTCAAGCTACTTTGAATCAATTCAACCCATCGAAATTGGTTAATTATACACCCTTGACTTCAAATTCCTTGGCATGATGTCTTGTAGCACTCTTGACCTCCCTCATGCACATCCTAGTCACCATTGACTAGTCAACAAGTCAATGTGTCAAAAATAAACCTTGAAATGAGACCATGGTTTGGCCACCTCATCATCCCATAAAGCAAACCCTTTCTCCAAGCCAAAATCTCTTTTTGGCTGATGGGAATATGTTTTTTCCCTCCCTAATTGATCATTAAACAAGCTCTATTAACCAAGCCAAGCATTGGTTCATCCAAATGAGGAAAAAGGTGTGGTCCCCTCTTCCCATGGACCAAGAGAAGTCACACTCACCACCAACCCTATTTCCTAGCTTTGGGCAGCATAGGGGACACTTGGAACTCATCCAAAACTACTCCAAATCAAATCTCAACCATCCAATCCAAAAGCCAAAGTTAAAGTGGGAAAAACTTGACCTAAAGGTGGCTTCTTCATCATTCCCTCTCATATCATCAAAATCTCCAAACTCTAGCAGCCTCCAACCTTCTAAGAACTCCTCCCATACATTCCAGCACTCCTCAAGACCTTCCAAAGCTTTTCCCATCCATTTCCAAGCCTCAAATCACTATTTTAGTGAGGAGAGAGCATTATAGAGAGAGAAAGAGGACTTTCCAATATAACTTTCGATCCAGCAAGATCCGGCTCTTGAAGTCTTCATCAAAGTTGTAGAGGATCACTGCAGCTTTCAAACGAGCCCAAGATCGCAAAAATCCGACGGTTGGATTGTAAGTTATGCTTTTTTAAAATTTAAATTTCAATTTAAAACTGTAGCAATTTTATAATGAGTGGAGCCTCCAAACTCTAGGCATTGTAAGATCATATTGCCCTCTAGCTACAGTTCAAATTTAGTGTAATTTCGTCAAGTATTTTGAAAGATATGAGCGTTTAAATTTCTATTCAAAATGAACTGGAGAAGATATGGACCATCCGATCAAAGATCAGACGGCTCAGATCTGGGTATACCGCGTGGCTTCCTCCAGGGTTTGAACGTGGGTCATCCCACGGTCTGGGAGGATGACGTGGCGTCACGCCACGTCGCCACGTCACCGTCAGCTGATTTGACCAAAATCTGAATAAAATATACTTTAAATGCTCTAAATCTTTCAAAATTCATAGAAAATCGAGTTCTCCACCAAATGGGGCGTTCTTGGGCTCGTTGGAAAGATAATCGAATGTAGTATTTATTAAAATTAAAATTATATTGATTTGATTTCTGTATTGTGAGCTATTTGAGTTTATTTGAATTTCATTTATTTCAATTTTCTCACAATCCAGTGATCAAATGAAGCCCAAATTTTGGTGGATGATTATTGAGTATCTTAGGCATGTTTAATAATTTTTCTAGGTTCAGATGCTCAATAGATTTCTGTGATATGAATTTTTAAGGTAAAGGGTCTATTTTGGACCCTAAACTTTGAAAATTTATATCTCCTTAGGATTTTAGTATTTTGCCGTGATATTTTTGTGGTATGATTGAATAAATGTCAGGGTTAGACACACCAAGTTTCAAGCCTATTTGAATAGTAGAGACACCTAGAAAAAATAATTAAGGAAATATCTAAAAATTTTTGAAAATTCATAGGGGATTGTACACACACCCAATAGGGGTGAAACTTGAACATCATAAACTTAGTGACATCAGGTACCTTTGGTTTAAATTTTACTCAATTTAGAGGTCATTAGGTAAGAAAATTGAGCATGTCAAATTTCAGCCCCTTTAAGGACTTAGAAAATTCAATAAATCATCATAAATTAAGATTAATTCTAAAAAATATCCATAATACCTCTAATCAACCATATTTCAACTCTTAATCATTGAAAATTAAAACTCCTTTAATTTAACATTAAAATCCACTTTAATTTAATTTTAATCAAAATTAATGTTTAATCAATTTTTAATTGATTAAAAATTATTAAAAATCCCAAAAAATCTTTAAACACTTGTTGATCTCTCCTTAGATCATTTTGGATCTTTGGAGTTGATTTAAAGAAGTTTAGGACTCATTTGGATTCAAATCATTAAAATGGCCCTTAATTGAAATAATTAAATAATTCCAATAAATACCAAACTTCCAAAATTCATAACTAATTGTAAAAATTTCCAAATCAATCAAACTTAGTGGCTAATGACTCTAATTAAAATCTAGTATTTTCCAAAAATGTCAAACTCCCAAAATCTGGTCAAAGTTAAAAAGTCAACAAATTGGTCAACCTTAAGTCAAAATTAGGCTAAAACTTCAAACCTTCATAATAAAATGTAGAAAAATCGGATTTCACTGTATTTACTATATAACTGATCGTATTGAGATCTAATATTTTAATAAAATACTAAATATCCAGAAAACATTCTTAATCTAAAAGTCAAATTTTGACCCCTTAGTTGACATATCGGGATAGCCTCCAAAATCCATTAATTCCCTCAAACTCAAATAGGCTGATAAAATTATTAACTAATCCTTAAAATCAGTAAACAACTCCCCTTAATATTAATCCACTCCTTTAATTCCAACTAACTTAAAATAACTTAATCAACCTCGATTACTACTGGGTAAGCCAAGCCTACGAGGCTATTAACTTAACTCCGAGGAAGGTGAAATAAACTTCATGGCCTCGGTGTGAAACAAAGGTAGTAATCAATTAACACTTTAAAATATTTAAATAAATTCTTATGTATTAATATTTAAAATTCTAATATAAAATCCCTTAAGCCTTAACATACCAGAATTTTAAACAACTTTAACCATTCACTTCGCACCTTAGGATCTATCCCTGCCACACGACATTTCTACACACACTTTAGATGGGTTTTGCTAGGACAACCAACTCTAGAATTTAGGTTAGGCCCGGTGTTTACTTTACTGCTGTGTGCCAGATTTTTTGTAGTTTTCAACTGCATGTTTGTGGACAAGAAATTGCTTTGGCTGTGTTTTGTTTACCTTTTTCTGCAGTCTGTGAATGGTTTGATGTGTGTTGGTCGACTAGATTTACCCTTAGGTTTAGGTACCATCTGGATGTTACACACGTTTTTGGGCAGGTGGCACGCCTCATAGGCAGGGCAATGAAAAAAGGGGGCTAAGTTAATAATAAATATCAATTGCTATAAATGTTTGCACAGGTGACTTCAGCTGCTAAAGCCCCCAAATAAAAGGAGCGTGACAGTGTGTTTTATTTCTTTTCTGCATATATATAACTGCTTTGAGAATTATTGCTTTTTATTTATTAACTGCTTAGGATAACATTGCAGGAGAGTCTGAATTTTTGATTTGAATATAAATTGTAATTTTGTGTAATTGTTTAAGTGTTGTGAAAAGTTAAATTTTGAGTTGGGAGATACACAGGTCGCAAAGCTTGGGACTCCAAAGAGAAAAGGATGGGCTCTTAGGGGCAGTAGACCTTTTTCTATTTGGATCCAAAATTTGACCATACTTATTTTCCTACCCATAAAGAGGAAAGAAGTGGCCTTCCCCTCAAGGAAGTGCCTCCTTATCCTTTGGGTAGTGTACTGCGAAGAATCAAAGGAAGCTGAAGAAAGGAGCCAAAGAAGACAGGATTGAAGATTGAAGATTGAGAGTATCGCACTCAAACTACTTTGCGTCATTAACTCAGGTCTTAGAATCAGGGGTTGTTGTCAGTGGTGGTTCCGGCCACTTTACTTTCTGCAGAAATTCTGGTTTTGTTATAAGCAAGACAACTTTGCCTATGGACATTTATTGATTAATTAATATTTGATGTGACTGAATTTGATTGCCTT